TTACTCGCTGTAGAATCAATGAACTACGCAGAACTTGAGAAGATTTGGCAATAAATATGGAAACTGTGAAATAAAACCCACCAACAGTATCTCATATCACACAGAACATTCTACAACAATTTAGAATTGATCTGTGCGTTTCAGGCAGCAGTCATACAATGCTTTCAAAATCTCCAGTGCTCAGCTTTATTTCTTTATAACCCTAATGAAATGCATATTAAATATTTAACTTAAACTTTTCTCTTTGGGTTTGATAACTGAATGTATACACCATGCAAACAGTCTTCTAAGTTGGGGATTCTTTCAAGGTCACATTTATGGTACAGTGATGACATTAACATCAAAGAACTCAAGAGTTCAAATGTCTAAACTGAGTCCTGACTCACACTTCAGACTAGTAAATGTCAGTCATTAAAATGCTAATGATGGTCAGTTTCCTTAAGAACAGACCAGTGATAGTGAACCTAGAAGCTTTTTGTCTCAGTGAGCTGTTCTAACTCAGCAAAGATTAACAGCACTGCTGATAAACCTCCAGCCTGAATGACAATGTAAGCGTGAACCATGCCCAGGCAAAGCAGCAAGCTTGAAAACAGAACATGGTTCTAAGGGGGGATCCCCTGGCATCATAAAATAAATAAGAAAGGGGGTGGAAATGCAAACCAAACCAAAAGCAATTATTACCACATATACCCCATGTCTACATGACCCACGATTTTCATATTTCATGGCTTTAAGACATGGTTACAGTGAAAGTAGCAGTCAGAATGTTCCATTTAGGTCTAACTGCAGACTGATGAACAAGGTCCCTGGGCCAGGAGATTCTGTCCTAGGGGAAAGCAAGTACCAAAGAATCCCACGGTCTGAACTGCAGTCCCCTCTTAACAACAACAACAAAATGCATGGATGTATTGCACTGGGAACAGTAGGTAGAATTAGCCACATGAACAGACACTGTGAGGTTGGTCAGGATTCACTGTCTCCTACAGATAAGCAAATCTGTTTTATTTTGGAAGAAAAATTGAAGCATTTGGAGGCCAGCTTTAGGTGCAACTGAACTTGTAAAGTCTCCTACCTCTTCATCAATACATAATAGTCATTGAGCCACCCTGACACATCTCTTGACTGAGTTAATATGTACAACAATCCTTCCAAGTGATCTCCAAAGGAGAGGTGATGAGGGGTCAAGTTGTCTTAAAATTAGAATGGCCTGGAGTTGGGGGCTGATATTGGACATATATTGGACAAAAAAGTTTCCCTACCTGTACCCATGTCATGTAGCTGCACCTCTGTGATGGTCGTGTCTCCATGCAGTCTGGTGTAATATCATGGTATCTTCCCTTTTCTTAACTATTCCTAACCCCAAATTTATAATCAACATGTATTTTCATGCACTTCTTAATTCATAGACACACTTTTTCTATATATAATAGGGATGAATATTATTTCAAGAACCTGAGCCTTAATCTAAACAGCACAATTTCAAGTTTCATCCCTTGGAGAGGTGATGGAGAGGTGATTTGTTGAAATTACCCAGACCCCTTCCTTTATGGGGGAGACTACAGGCCATTCCTAAGCAGACATTCCTAAGTAGAACTAGGCTAGTTCAGCTGTCTGCTTTGAAGTTGGCTGCTGGGAATTGAGAATTCACTGAATCCCAGGTCAGCCCACAGAACCCACATAGTTCCCAAAGTATAGAGCTATATATTTCAGTAACAAGTAACCACTATTTATAACACTGTTTTTATAGCGAAATTCAACCCAAGTTTTTGTTTAAGAATTCAAGAATGCCTTCCCCTTTCTTCCTGCTATTCCAAGTGAAAGAGCAACCAGACATGGGAAGGGTGAGGTGGGAGGATGTGAGGAAGAAGATGGAAGAGCTGATGAGATAATTTAAGGCTTCAGGGCTTTTTAAATCCTTGTATGACATTTGGTCATTTATTCCCAATCTACACTGGGGATCAAAAGGGTTTGGGGGCTGGAGGATTAGTTTCATTTATATTTTTATACTGATGATCATTGAGATGCCTCAACTGCCCATTGGCTTATGTAGGTCATCACAAGTTTGGGAATAGGCTGAAGCAACAGATTAAAAATCACAAGACAGCCTTTTAATTGGCCTCCTTAGGCCATTTAACAAAGGAGAAAGCTAACTTGCAAGAGCAAAGAGTAATTAATGAAGGGAGCAAACAAAGGTTCGTTTAGTAACTTCCCAATAAGTTCTTCTGTCTAAGGGGTAGGAGGGAGGTAGCCTGCAACAGAAAGATAAACTGTAGGTATTTAAGTCACAATGCCTTCCGCCAAGAACTGCTCATTACCATCCGATGTTGCAGTGGCAGTGGGGCCAGTTAGAACTAACTTTATTATTAGAAGCAATTAGGGAGAAAAGGGGTAGCATTTCATTTGGTTATTTCAAAACAAGTTTCTGTGCACAGTTTAATGAAGGCCTGCAGTGTCAAGATAAAATGTGTGTTTTACTGAAAACAGCTTTTGCAAATGACTGCTTGCTACCAGCTGGTATCTCCAGGCAGAGCAGACTGGGTAGGCTGGATTTACATGCATGCCATAATATAATAGTTCAGCTGTCTCAGCTTCACATAAGTGTTACCAGGCAGTACGGCCTGATGGTGAAGGATGTGTGTTCTGGAGCCAGACGGTCTGTCTTCAGTTCCTATCTTTGACCTTGGTAGATGAATGACCTTGGGTGACCTTCTGTAATTTTCTGGGCTTTAGTTTACTCACATGTAAAGTGGAGATCTGCGCAGTGTTTATATCATAAGGTCTTTGGGAAATTAATGTGTTAGATGTTAGAAATCACTGTTATATCCCAAAGATCATTAGCATGGGGGATTTAAATTAAACAAGCTGCTTACTACATAAGGACTACCCTGAGTTCAAGTCAATAATGGATTCATGGGGCCACTGCTGGCAGTGCCAGTATCCCATATGGCTGCCGGTTCCAGATCTGGCTGCTCCATTTCCGATCCAGCTCTCTGCTATGACCTGAGAAAGCAGTAGAAAATGGCCCAGACGCTTTGGCCCCTGTGTGGGAGACCCAGAAGAAGCTCCTGGTTCCTGGCTTCGGAGCTCCAGCAGGCCATTGTGGCAATTTGGGGAGCGAGCCAGTGGACGGAAGACCTCTCTTTCTCTCTCTCTGCTTTTCAAATAAATAAATAAAACTTTTCAAAAAATAATGGATTCATTTCCATCCTTTCATTGCAGTTTACATGTGAAGTATGGCATCAATGTTTGTTTTCAGAGTCTTAGACTTTTTTTTTACCTAAATCCATTTCAGACAACAGTTGAACATTTCTGTAGAATTCAGGTGTTTTGGAAAGATGGTTGCTATTTAGATTTGCTAAACCAGCTGTATGCCACACCTGATTTCCCATCTGTTACCTTTAACACTTGAGACTTTTTAATATTTTCCTTCATCTGAGCTTTTCCTGTAAGTTTTCTTATAGCCTTTAATGATTCCCTAATATATGCCTAAGGGCTAAGAGAAAGTACCATGTGTTCAGCATGGAAGAGTATTTCAAGAATCTCATCTATCACAATAAATGGGGAATTGGACTTTGGCTTCCTTCTACACATCCTTTTTGAATCCACTGTGACCAGAGTGAAGCAGATCTCTCACCTGTGGTTTTAGACTCCATCCTGAATGTCCTCACTCTTCAGTGAGAACATGTGTGTCTGCAGTGATTTGATTTTCCAGAGACCCTTCATTAAATCATGAAGGTTAAAGACTGATTTTCATCAGATGGCTCTAATATTTGCATATGCACTGAAGAATGTGCTTTTCAAATCAACAGTATTTAACAAATGTGCCATAAAACACACTACTGGGAATATATGTGGTGAACGGAACTCATTTCTAGGATCTTAACAAGCAATAGCCCTGTTATTAAAAATCTATTCATTTTAGAAAATTCTAAATTAGCAAAATACCTCCTACATATTTATGTTTTCTCAGCCATTTAGGGAACCACATCATTTTTCTGGTTTCCCTGACTTAATTTACACCACTTTGCATAATTTAAATAAGGACCTCTTTCACAGGATTTTAGATCTTATACTGCACATTGTAAGAAAGGAAAAATTGAAAACCTAGGAAGTACATAATGATTGGACTCCTTGTGGGGAGCAACCCGGACTGGACTGAGTTACTGGAATTAAGACTTATTCTATGCATCTGCTCTCCCACAATATGGCGCCGGGAGAGGAGGCAACAGCTTCTGCCCAGCTGCCTCTCACCAACTTGACAAGCTGCAGGACCTGCTCCTGATTGGAGGAGAGCAGCGTACTCGGCGTGTGGGCAGCGGAGTTGGGATTGGCAGAGGAGGACTATAAAGGAGGAGAGAGACGGCATGCACCAGGAACATCTAGGAGGAACATCTATCTGAAGGAACACCTGTGCAGTCCCCGAGAGAGCCGGCCGGCGGTGTGCCGCTCCCCCGCGGAAGTGGGGAATGTGGCAGGGGGAACCTCCGTGGAAGGGACGGTAGCCAACCTGGGAAGGACCAGCAGCAAACCCGGGGAGGGCCGAGCAGACAAAAGAACAGCGCAGGGTCCTGTGTCGTTCCTCCGCGAAGACGAGGAGCGACATAATGGTGCCGTGACTCGGATAGGAAGCCTAGGCAGGGTTTGGTGTCGTTCCTCCACAAAGAGGGGGAGCGACACTCCTCAATGTCTCGGAGTTCTTGTTCTATGTGAGTTTGGGAAAGAAGTTAAAACTAATGTTTGTTTTCTCTAAGCCAGCTATTTCCTTGAATATAATTTTTTTCTTTTTAGCAATCACATACATTTGCACTGTGGGTGATTTTTCTTCTTGAAAAGATCCCAGAAAGTTTTAAAGAATGGTTTAATCATAATTTTTGATATCCAGTCAACATTATTGTCTCTCAGAAAGTTAAACCTCAGAAAAGTTGGATCCTGAACAAAATAAAAGCATAACATAAGGACTCCTACAGGGAAGATTTAAGAGGGTAGATATTTAATCTTACCCTGGATCTTTCTTCTAGTTTTGTCATCATGACAACAGTGGCACTCCGTTGCTCCCATATCATTCTCCAAAAGTCCCCAAACGTTTCGGGGAGAGATCCCTGGGTTGCAATATAGGCATTTTGCTTCCTATAACCATCTATGTAGTTGGCATTCACATAGTCGCTTCCTGGGATGCCTGTAAAACAAGGAGTGTTATTTAATTGGGTGAACATACCATCAGAGGAAAAAAACCCAGTAGATGACCTAATGGCGATGTATTATTGTTCCACACTATGCTGGAGGAGTCACAATAATTGAATTTCAGGTTTTGAATAAGATTTAAAACAATATCATGTTTAAAAGAACACAATTTTCAAGGAATAAGGTCTTTATAATATGACAAAGTGGATTAATAAAATAGAAAAATACAGCAGTTAGTCCATAGAGTGCCTTTTCTCTTAGAGACTGTCTGCTTTCTCTGTTGCATCAGAAAAAAAAAATCACAAAGGAATATAAAGAATATGGTCACATTATTCTGTATATGCTTCCTCATTCCCCGACAAAAGCTAAACAAAAGAATATCTGAGTCTGAGAATGCAATAGAGTGTAGACTGTGTCACGACAGTGAAAAACCCTTTGCAGGTTTAGCAAAGAGGAAATTCACATATACACTCATTGAATCCTCACAGCAACTCTATGATCATCCTTCATCAAAGAGGAAACTGAAGAGCACACATAAAATGTGGCTTGGACTGGTGTTATGGAGCAGTGTTTTAAGCCACTGCCTGAGACACTGGCATCTCATATGAGCACTGATTCAAGACCCAGCTGTTCCACTTCCATTTCCAGCTCCTGGTAATGTCACTAGGAAAGCAGCAGAAGATGGCTAGTACTTGGGCCACTGCCACTCAGAGACCTGGGTGGAACTCCAGGCTCTTGCTGTGGCCTGGTCTAGCACTGGCCCTTGTGAGCATTTGGGGAGTGAACCAATGGATTGAAGATCTTTCTCTATCTCTCCCTCTCTCTCTGAAAGTTTGCTTTTCAAGTAAATAATTGAATCTATCTATGTAAAATAAAAACTTGGCCATGTTGCTCCAATTGATAGAGTCAGGTTTAATCACAGTCAACCTCTCTGATTTATTCCTTCTCATTTAAACCCACAGGGCTGCTGGAAGTAGTACATGAAATTCTGTAGGATTATGAAAATAGCCTCATAATTAATGGTTTCACTTCTACTTTTGTTCCCTTCAGTCTGTATCTAGCATAGGAGCAATTTGAAAAAACATAGTTCAGAAACTATAACATCTTCAAATACAACAACGGTTTCACATTACACTTCCGAAAAAAAAAAGAAACAAAATATGATACATTAAAATCCAAGCTCTCAACATTGCCCAGAAAGCCCAGAAAGCTCTGCACTTCTCCACGCTCATTCTACTCACCTCCTTGCCCTCAACAGTGATCTGCTTTAGCTCAGAGAAGACACTACTCTCCTAGTTGAGCTCCATCCACATCCTAGAACACATCTCTATTGCCTTCTCTCCATAAAACACTGTTAACATCTCAGAAGGCCTGCAGTTAAGTACCCTGGGACCTCGGAACTCCTTTGACAACTCTTTATACTACTTGTTATCAGATGAAATCATGTAAATGCTAATTTGCTAATGGCCTGTTTCCACCACTGGACCATGTGTCTATATTCACCTTTGCTATCCTTAGTGAAAAAAGTAGTTTGCCTCAGTTCCAATATTTAATAAGTGTCAGAGCTGTAATGTAATGTATATATTTTGATTTAAATTTTTTCCTTCAGAACAATGCATTCTTATAACTTTTTATTTATATAAGGTGAACATATTTCAGGTATTTCTTATATGCAAATTTAGGAGTATAGTGATACTTCCCACCCAACCTTCCCTCCTCCTTCTGTTTTTATTCTTTCTTTTAATCAGAACAATACATTTAGCAGGATATAGGTCAATCTAAACTTCCAAGGACAGTGGGAAAAATGATTAAGGAAATAAAAGCTCTTCCATATGAGAAAGGAATGCATATTACAGCCCAGGATAGGATAAGGTAGTAGTTGGGGATAAGAGATGTGAGTTATCTGAAGAGAGGGTTAGATTTATATTATTGAGATCAAAGTTTTTCAATTCTGAAGGATGTAACTACAGAGGGATGAATTTCACCTTCAATACAATAAAAAACTTCCAAATAGTCAGAGTCAAAAAGAAAACAGGTTTCCTTGGAAGGTAATGAGTTGCCTATCCCTGGAGGGGAACAAGCACTTCACAAGGATATTAGTGTGCTACTGGAGTTAGTGCTAAAACCTGTGCATAGTCCCTTCTAGCCTTGGGAAAATATGAGTCCTGGAATTATGGAAAAACATTTTTTTCTTTGTAATGGAACATATGTTCCCAAGCTCAAATTGTTATATTTCACTGATTGCCACTTGCAATTACTTTGACTGCTTTTCTCATTTGAGTTGTAAAACTGATCCTCTCAAGGAAAGTAATGAAAGTCAGATGGAAACTAATCTGCTCTGAGATGAACACACAGATATGGAATACCACCAGCGTTAGCTGAAAAGCCTTTTGAGCAAAAACTGAAATGCACGGTTGGTTGTAACATTATTCATCTATTACAGCTACTCAAGAAGCAGTTGGGGTTCTGGCAGCCCTTTGTTGATGAAGATCCTTTTCCACCCTGATACCAAATTACTGTAGATTCAAAGGGCACTTTAAATAAAATCTTTATGTTACAGCTACTATGAAGCACACTCATCTTACACATTCACAAGATCTGGTTCTGGGTCAAGTATGAACCCAAATTACAACACAGGAAAAGCCCATTCTCACCATTTTAATTTAGCAGTTAACAACATTAAAGAATTGATAAAAAGGATTCTGGCTAAGTGCCTCACTCAGCTGCCAACATATCGAAAACTTTCTTTCCCAGCAAAATTTAGAATGGAGAAATCTGTAGTAATTGATTCAGAAAACGTATCAGGTGGGTGTTGTGACATGCCCCCTTTTATCAAGGGTAACAAACATGTCTGGACAATGCACTGAGAACTTGTGGGAGATACACATGAATACCATTACTAAAGAAAGGGAATCAGACCCATCCAAGCCTCTTTGTGTGAAATTTTCAGCTATAATGTAACTATTGTATTTTTAACATACTTCTCAAGTTTTAACAATGGATATTTTGAGTGGGGGATGGGGCTGTCACTGATACTAGTTGCACTTCCAAGGGACAAGGAGACAAAAATTCTGTCTGAAGTCCACTGGGCACCCAGGATCAATGCTGTATCACTAAACAGTTAAGAATGTAGGGCATGATATTTGGAACATAAGAAAATTAGAAACAGAACCTTAATGTCTACTAATTATTAGGCTAATGTTTATATAGTGAATATAATGATGAGGTTCCCTTTCTATTTTGATGCATGTCTGTATGGATATACTATCTAGAATGGAAGCCTCCTTGTGGCTCTGATGGAAACACATGTCTGCAACTTGTCCCTCAGATCCTCAGCAACATGGAGACGTGACAGGTTGCCACATTCTCTCGAGGTCTGCAATCTATTGATTCCTGTATCCATCCAACTTGTCATAACGAACTGCAGAAGTATGAATGCAAGGGTGACTTGTCCTTCTACAAATATTAGCCCCAGATTGGAATCCAAAGTTAAACAGCAGTCTATTTTAAGTGGAAGAAACCCCAGTCTTCAGTGGAGACACATTTAGAAAGATTTTTCAACCAACCCTGTAAGACACACAACACGCTAGTTTTCTGAATGCTTTCGTGCCATGGAATGTTTCTTCAGTAACTCTTAATTAGAAGGCTTCTGCAGGAAGGGTGTATCTATAAAATCCTTTCACGTTTTAGGAAGGATCTTCTGCAAATAATGCTTATTTGTTTATTTAATTTTTAATTCTGTGCCTTATCCAAAAAACGACTTGCATCTGCTAATGCAACACTAATCAGATTGCACTACTGATCCAAGCAAAGTGTGTAAGAATTAACTGAATTCCTCTGGGGCTATTATGGATACAAATCTAACTTAAAATGTAGTAATAAAAGAACGTAGAATTCCTATGAATAAATTTATTGCTTTTATTTCTTGCAGTCAAAGAGAAGTTTTATAATAGGAGTTCTTGCTTTGGGTTTTCTGTTTGTGGTAGGGGAAGGAATTATTAACATAAGAGGTGTTTGACTAAGATGTTTGCCTTCTGCTACCCATAGTCCAAATTTTAGAACACGCTGGTCTTTCTATAAGACATGTTTCCTGGGGTTAGTTGGTTTTACTGGTGAAAAAGTATAGCTTGATGTAAGACCTGCTCTTTCCTGGGAGCTCATGGATTTACCACATTTGTAAAAGTGCGTAGGTTTTCATGCTTTCTTATGTATTATTTCATGTGCATTATCCAATTAATAGCACTCATGCAAACAGTCCAACACCATAAATAATCAATACACTAATTTTTCACATGAGAAACCCGAGGCTAGATCCACTTATTTCTTGTGTTATACCAATATGATCCATTCCTGGGTCATAGTGTATTTCATCCATTAATGGTCTGTTCTTTATTGTGGCAGTTTAAAATATTCTTTACAGGCCGGTGCCGCGGCTCACTAGGTTAATCCTCCGCCTTGCGGCGCCGGCACACCGGTTCTAGTCCCGGTTGGGGCGCCGGATTCTTTCCCGGTTGCCCCTCTTCCAGGCCAGCTCTCTGCTGTGGCCAGGGAGTGCAGTGGAGGATGGCCCAGGTGCTTGGGCCCTGCACCCCATGGGAGACCAGGAGAAGTACCTGGCTCCTGCCATCAGATGAGCGCGGTGCGCCGGCCGCGGTGGCCATTGGAGGGTGAACCAACGGCAGAGGAAGACCTTTCTGTCTCTCTCACTGTCCACTCTGCCTGTCAAAAAAAATATTCTTTACATATTTATAGGTGGTCTTTGTGCTTAAACCTGGAGCTATAAACTCAGGCCTTTTAAACTAAAAGAGATTGTGATGAAGTGAATGGCTGGGAATGCTGAGATTCCGTGCTCTTCATGTACAACAGGCCCTAGCAAACAGCAACTAGAACAAAATTAGGCAAGTTTCAGGCTCTGATTTGCTGGAAATTGCTAGTTACATTTTTCAGCTGATAAATTAGCCTGGGCATGGACTTTGGACTCAGTTATCTGCAAAA